ATATATATATATATATATATATATATATATAGTTGAAGACAAAATTATTAGCCCCCATATGAAATGTCAGTTCTTTTTTAGATATTTCCCAAGTGATGTTTAATAGAGCAAGGGAATTTTAACACTGTATTTCTTATTATATTTTTCATCTGGAGAAAGTCTTTTTTATTTCAATTTGCCTGGAATAAAATAATAATTATTATATGATATATTAATATATATTATTATTATTTAAAAAAAATAAAAAATGAAATATATATATATATATATATATACATATATTGCTACGGTCAATATTATTAGCCCTCTTAAGAAATTATCTGTTTGATTGGCTACGGAACAAACCACTGTTGTTCAATGACTTGCCTACCTAACCTTCTGAGCTTTTAAATTGCACTGTAAGCTGAGGATTAGTATCTATTAAAACAACTAGTAAAATAATATGTATTGTTATAATGACAAATACATAAAAATTTGTTTAGACTTGAGAAAAAAAAAGTTAATGCTCATAATGGACTCATAATTACTCACCCTTGAAGCATCTTAGGTGTATATGACTTTCTTCTTTCAGACGAATCCAGTCGGAGTTATATTAAAAATTGTCCTGGCTATTCCAAGCTCTATCATTGCAGTCAGCGGGTGTTGCAGTTGAACAGTCCACAAGTCGTCAAATAAAGCTCGAGCATTCATAATAAAACGTGCTTCACACGGCTCCGAGTGGTGAATAAAGGCCTTCTGTAGTAAATCCATGCGTTTTTGTAAGAAAAATATCCATATTTCAAACGTAATAAACACTTTTCTCTCACTTCTGCTGACTGTCATACACTGAAGCAGTTCCGGCGGATGACGTAGGATGTCGGCGTTGCGTGATTAGTGACGAATGCGGAGAGACAACAAAACAAAACGCCGGTCACGAATTAGAAGTACAAACCGAAGATTTGCAAAGAAAAATGTCGGAGGATTTCGATATAAGCCAAGAGGAGACTGGTTTTCCTTTGCTAAAGTAAGGACACTTTGCTTCCTTTGCTCCTATTAAAGGGGGATTTCAATTTTTCCTTTCTCTTTGGAGTGTTACAAGCTCTTGGTGCATAAAGAAGGTCTGTAAAGTTGCAAAAGACTAAAGTCTCAAATCCAAAGATATATTCTTTATAAAAGTTAAGAGTCAACCACGCCTACCTAAAACGGCTCGTTCTAACACGCCCCCACATGTCTACCTCACAATGTGGGAAGATTTGCATAACGCCGCCCAAATATTCACGCAAAGAGAGAAAGCGTAACTTTTATTCTAGCTGTAGTTTTGTTGCTGCCACCATGTCGTGGAAGCGCTGTGTGTTTCGTTGTGAAAGTGAAACTACTTTGTTTGGTCTTCCAAAAGAGGACCATATCCGCTTTGTCATGCCTAGAGCTGATCCGTGCTGGTCGCTGAGGAAATACATCAACTTCTTGCTGTGGATCGCCGGATCGGCTTTCACCGTGGACGAAGCGGAGTCCAACCCGGGGTCGTCACATGGGGTTGCCGCAAGCCCGCCCGCCGCGCCGTTCTCAAGCGCACTGGCCGCCGCTCACTCAGGCCGGCCTCTGCTAACTCTAGGCTGCCGGCCGCCGCTAACTCTAGCCCCCAGCCTCCGCTCACTCTAGGCCGTTGTGTGTGACGCTGTTTCGTTGGCCTTCCAAAAGAGGACGCGACTAGAAATCAGTGGTTAAGTTGTATTTACAACACTGTTCCAGAACGTTCAACCCAAATATTCCGATGTGTCCAGCGCATTTTATGGAGGATTGTTTCCTGATCCTGGTAAAGTAGATTACAAAGCCGGCTGTTCTGACTCACAGACTGTAAGTACGTTTTTTATATATAAAGAATTTGCCACTGACGATTCAAACGCGAGTTTTGAGCAGTGTAGAGTTGCGTTTTGTAGTTTGTCATTTCTCCGATCACAAATGCAGACATGGTTTTATGTTTACGCGGCGTGGCGCGATGCAATGCAACGCGTAAAAAGACAGTATAAGTCATTATAATCCGTAATTATGTCCCCACTGAATACAACAAATGCCTCGTTTATAATGGGTTTTAATGTTTTTGTCTCGTCACTCCGGCCGGGACAAGGCATCACAATATGGCAAGGG